TTGTGTAGTTAATAAAATAATCAGAATATCCCATGTATTCTTATTCAATTTCTGAATTTTAGGGTTTGGAGTTGATTCTTGGAGGGGTTTTAGCTCTTGAGCCTTTGTTTTTCAAAACAAAGATTTAAAGTTGTTATCAACTGAGTTCCACAACCTGACTTCGATTGCAGCCGTGTAAGAAGCTTTCTATTTTAATACTAGTTAGTGCTTGGGAATCTACAAGTTGGACACCTGTCTGCAATTCCTYTTCTTGCACCATATGCAGGAATTACTCTCACTTAAGATGATGTAAGACTGCAGAGCTGGAGCAGGTGTCATAAACAGCCTGATCTCTGTCTTGCAGCTCCACGCTGAGAGGAAAACGGGCTGCATTGCTGGAACAASAGCCACGCTGGAACAAAAATCCCAACTTCCCAAAATACTACTCCTGCMGTGATCCAGAAGGTCAGCACAGAACTGATTCATTTTGTTATTATGACAACTTCCCACCTGGAGAGGCAGGCAAACAAGGAGCAAGGTAAAGAATGGGCCTGCTTTGGTAAACTGCTTCGTCCAGCAAAATCCAGTTACAGGCAGTGACCCGAGGCAGAAGGAAATGGGAAGTGAAGCAGCTCCTACAGACAACAAGTAAGAAAACAAACTTCCTTTTTACTGCTTCCACGTTGCAAACAGGCCAAACTCCAAGCTTTGGAAAGAGAAGGCACAGAGTCAAACACCTGAAATATTACCCCTCCCTCTGCTCCAGTGTGACTAACACCTGGGGTTAGAGTGCAGCACACTCAGGCAGTGCTGTAGTAGTAGTCAGTAGTTTTCATCAAAGGYTGAGGAGAAACTCTCTTTTCATGGGAGACAAATTCTGAGGTCATTTGCAGTCAAAAAAAGTTTTAAACATATTTCTGTTGCAGAGAACACGAGGGAAAACAGACACTTTGCCARAAAGTTGCATGAGCCACCAATTCAAGGCCTTAACTTCTGATTGCCTCAATCATTCCTAAAAGTTAGTGTGTAATAATCTTATGCCAGTGCTAAAATAATTCAACCTAGATGATTTACTAATGAATTTGACTAAAGTCCACCAAGGTACTTTCAGTGGACAAAGGGAAATACATGTTCACAGTCAAGCAAGGAGASAGAAGCCATATACTTAGAACTTAAATCATCTGCCCTTGCTTGTCTTGCCCTCAGGAGCACAAGTACAGTAAGTACAAGTTGTGCCAAAATGTTTTTTAAAAGCCTCCTTCACTTTGCTTCTGGGAGGCAAGTTTCAGGAGAAACACCAGCTGGAGCTGCCATGGAGTTTACAACACATCTTGCAGTACACCTGTGTCAGTACCTYCAGTTCTGTTCCGCTTGTTAAACACAGCAATGTCCCTCCCCTGGTGCTTGCTGGCAATACAGCTGCTTCATAGAGGAGGAACAAGTTTTAACTGAACTTTGCTGGCGTGGACTGTGATTTTACCAAAAAGAACAGCCTCAATGTGAACCTTACCAGTCCAGACTCCCACTGTGGCAGCAGCAAGGCTTGTCTAAATGTGCCACTTTGTCACAGCAAGTGCCTAGTTCTGTTGGTTTCACCTTGGCAGYGAAACCCATCACAGTGAAAAAGGAAAAACTTTTAAGTTTAATGCAGTTCTAGCAAGATTAAATTAGTGCACTTTCAAATTTCAACAAATTTCAAAATTGGTTGCAAATTTACTGGTTTAAGTGATGTTACATAAAGACAGTCAAAACCAAGTGTACATTGGTTCTGGCCTTTATACTGACGTAGCACATGATGAACACACTAACTCTCTGGCACCATGACTTTCACCATCCCTTCCATAACAGTTTTTCCACTTTCTCTGACCTGACATGATACAGAAATGAGTGCAACAGAACCCTTCAGTCGTTTTACTTCTGCCGCAGCTGTGACTTCTTCACCAACATACAAAGGAGCTGGAAACCGGATCTCTTGGGAAAGAAATATACATCCTTGACCAGGCATTTTGGTACCCAGAACTGCAGAAATAAGTCCATTGATCAGAACTCCATGGACAACAGTTCTCCCAAACCTAGATTTCTTTGCAAACTCCTCATTTAAATGCAAAGGATTTGTGTCACCTGTTAAATAAGAAAAAGTAACTACATCATTTTGTGTAAAAGCCTTGCTAAGTTCAGCTTTGTCTCCAACTTCTATGTGTAAATTCTGAAGTACAGGGTGTCCAAGCAGCGAATTGATAAACGTTAGCTTTGTCAAGGCTCTTTGCTGGAAAATCCCTCCAGAAATTCCACATCTGAAGAGCTGCAACATTTCCAGGAACTTCTCCTTGATGCAACCAAACCAACAACCACATTCAGTCCAAGACTAATTCTCTACTGTTGCCAGATAACGCAAGTAGAAACGGAGATGTCTAGTTTGGGGAAAGAAAAAACAAACAAGAACCAACTAAAGCCTTAAGAAAAACCACCATCAAAAGCACTCAAATTTGAAAATACTTAAATGTTCCTTTTATCTGAAAGATTAAAAACACAGAGCTATACCCAAGAAGATTTTTGTCTAGCCATGGCTTGAGAAACAAAGAATTCTCAGAACTCATTTTATTAAGCAGCATCATCTGGAAAAAAATAAGCTATGGAAGTGCATGTTCATACACACATTGTTAAAAAACGTCAGTTGACAGTGACCACTAAAAAGGTAAGAAGTGGAGTAGAGAAAATAAAAATTGGACCAAAATGTGGGTCATGAACAACACTTGCCAGAAATTACTTTCTTGCAGATGTAATAATGACATTAGGACTTGTCATTASACTGAAACCATAAAGTAATGAGACAGCCACTACTCATTGTACAAGGTTCATTTTAAGATGAGAACTGCTCAAACGCAGGCCCATACACCTGCACTGGAAGGCTCTTCATTCCCAAACCAAGGCATTTTTGCATCTAGGCCATCTTTCTATGAAAAGGCAGCAGGCTCAGGCAGCCAGCCAAGCTTAGAGCCAGAGCTGACACCTGGGGGAAGGCACCCAGCCCCTCAGGGTTTTACCTGCAGCACATGGAAGGCACATCTCCTGTTCTGATAGAAGCCCAGCAAGGTTAGAGCACTCCACAGCTTGACAAGGCCACTAAGTCAAAAGAAAACAAAATATGTTGATAAAATTTGGAGTTTCCTGTTTTCCTGCAGGAGTTTAACAGTAGGTAGTTTCACCAAAGAGTTCTAGTAGAAAAAATGTATCTTGAAGGATTATTGCAGTGGCTGCAGTCTCTTGTTTTTGACACAGAGATATGTACTGTAACTTCAAGTTCATTTTACCAGCCCTGTTCTTATTCTCATGCATTTAAGCTTCTTCTTCACCTACATCACCTGTAGCTGTCTTCAACATTTACAGCAACCATTCTCATCTTTACTACGGAAAGAGATTTAAAGTCATTTTTTCAATAGTGCTTAGTTCCTGTCTTAAAACCACTAAACCCATTCTGGTTTAAAGCAGGAATAATATACTGATGCACGAAAATACCAAGACTCAGTAATTGTTTTCTGCAYGCCCTGTGCAAATATCTGCAAGTTAGGCTTAATTTTTCAAAGACCATTCTAAGCCCAAGAGTTCTGTTTTCTTATGAAAAATACTTTCATGTTATGGAGGCACGTACTGACTGCACCTTACCTGCTAATAACTCTTAATATGGCAGACAGAGTTTTTTCTTCATATGTTAAAACATCAACAGGCAAAGCTGCTCCAACCTATGAAAAAAAAAAGGTTACTTAATAATACCATCCTATGCTCTTATAGTGGTTTATAAGCAACTGATTTCACACCCAGTATGTGACACCATTAAAGGTGTTGTGCTCAAATCTCACACAAGTGTTTCAGCTACAACATCACTGGATTTTAAACAGCACGTTTTTTCTCAGAGTTCTTTAGAAGCCGCTTTTATTTCCACATGTGGAGAAACACAGACCCAGAGGTGATGTGACCTGTTTAAAGCCACCCAGCAATAGAGATCAACAACAATGCTCTAGGACTTTCCCACTCACAAAGCTATTCCTTTCCCACAATTCTCTTTTTAAAGCCTCTTACCCCGCAAAAACATCAATATCACAAACTCTAAAAACAGATATCAAAGAACGGTTTGAGTTGGAAGAGACCTTAAAGTTCATCCACTTGCAGCCCCGCTGTCATGGTCARACACCTTCCGCTAAACCAAGCTGCTCYAAGCCCCGTCCWGCCTGGCCCTGAACACTGCCAGGGATGGCTAAAGCCACTTGACTACAGGCACTGAACTGAAACGAACAGCTTCACTAGGAGCAAGTGAGAACGTGGGCTGGCGAGCAGGTAACCGGGAAGCGGACGGTCAAACCCGATACATTTACCCCGCCTCGCCCGCTCCTTTGGCCCCTCTCCCCTCGCTCGGACACTGCTCTGCAGCCAGAGCGAATGTTGCGGGGGACAAGCGCCCACTCCCGCAAGGCTGTCCCGGCCCAGCCCGGAGCCGCCAGCCGAGCCCAGACTCCACTGCCGGTCCCGATCCCGGTCCTACCTCTCCGTGCAGCTCCCTSAGCGCTGTCACCACGAGCTGCTTGAACTGCGCGGCGTTCGGGCGGGCCCCGCCGTCGGGCAGCTCCCTGCGGGAAGGAGAGCACAGGGAGGGAGGTCAGGAGGG